GTACAGTTTACGTACATACAGTAATGTTTATGTTCCTAAATTAATATCGTTTATGACCTTCAGATGTGTTATGCTCCTCTTCTTTTTATGCTCATCTACTAAAATTTCCCTGTAGTGGTAAAATTCCATATATATATTCAATACTAAGCGGATTAAAATGCGCACAGTAAAGAGATTAAATGATTCAATCTTTTCACTTCCAACCAATGCACCACAAGTGCCCCTGTCGGTCATTTTGGCCAGCCAATCACTTACCGCGGTGCCCTGCGGTGGCTTGTGGGTAGTTTACCGTACTGTGCATTTTGAATGGCTGCATATGTAGCAGCTCTATTTATATTGAGTTTTGTCTGAGTTTATTTTATTCAATTTCTATAGCACTATTATCTATTATGTAACCAAATTTTGTAACTTTAATTTTGTGATTTTTACCCCCCCCAGTGAGTTCGTAAAAAAAGATATTTCATTGCCATCAACTACTGCTGCACGCTGTATTGTTGTGCCTTTGATAAATAAACTTTGATTGATTGATTTGAAATTGCTGACCCTGCGCTCTGACCCCAAGCTTCTCTCCCTGTTTGTGTATCTCATGAAGAGCAAGATAGGGTATGCGAAAAGACACATTTCTAATACAAGAAGTTGTATATGGCCAATAAAGTGATTTTATCTTATTTCATAGTGGGTATGAGGTTCTTTTCATCATACACATGCCTTTTCTGACGTCAAATGTGCTTATGCTATGAATGGCCAAACAGTTCAATTTCGGTCTCAACTGACCTTAGCACCTAGTTACTATCAGTTCCAGTAGCGTTTGGCAAACTCCAGCTGCTTCAATTTGTTTCTTGTTTTCAGTAAAGGCTTTCTTCTGGCAACCCTTCCATATAGTCAGCTGTCATGAATGTACCTTCTAAGTGTTGATTTGCAGACTTGGTGACCCCTAGATGCAACCAGACACTGCAGTTCTCCAACTGTGACTCTTGGATTCTTTTTTGCCTCCCTCACAATCCTCCTCACTGTGCCTGTGGGCAAAACGCACTTGTGTCCATATCCTAGTAGGTTAACCACTCTTTTATTGGTTTTGAACTTTTGGATTATTGCCCTAATAGTGCTAAGTGGTATATTTATTTTTTGTGTACTTTGTATGTACTGTTCTGTAACCATTACTTGATTTGTGAAGATCAACAACCATTTGTAATCTTTTATTGTCAGTTTGTTTGCCTTTTCCCATGGTGATGGATGACAAAAGGTTTTCCCATGTTTGCGACCTCTTTTTTATACTCTTGTGAAACAGGGTGTCCAAATTAACACTCCTTAGGACTGAGTTGAATTAAAATAAGCAGAATGTCATTGCAGATTTTATTTTGTTTGTTTTTCATTAAAAGAAACGTAGGGGATCCAGTAATTCTAACACCTATGTTTTTGACTACAACAATGATATTACTCATTAAAAACATTTGTTTTTAAATAATTGTATTAGAATGAAAGCTTGTAGTTTTCCAATTTTTTCAGGCATAAAATATCAATCATCATCTGTGCTGTTTATTTTATGCAGCTTTTTTTGTTCAGGTTTATCAATGCTGCTTAAATTCTTAAGCTCATTGTCCATGCCTCATGATACATACCAGTACAGTCATCTAAGATCACCCTGAACAGATATTTATGATGCACGTATAGAAGGAAGCAAAGTTACTACTCCACAGTGAGTGCATTTATACAGTATATTTCTCAGTGCAAATTTAACATAATGTATGGATTAATGACAACTGCAGATAAGTTTGAAGCAAAGATTGTTTTCCATTTTTATGTAAAAAAAAATCAAAGACATTTTTTTAATGAAATACACTGCACATGAGTAGGTATGAAACTCAAAAGTAAGGGCTCCTGGCTTAACATTATGGGTTTTTCCGATTTCAAAAGAAACTGATTTGATTTCAAAATCACAATCCACAATGGCAATGGTCAACACATATATCAGAAATTCTGACCTGCATGATCAAAGCTGGAGTTCATATCCTGATTCAGTGCGTGATGGACTAGAGTATGCTGAAGGGCTGCAGATGATGAAACTCCATTAATTCTGGAATCTGTTTCAGGCTGCAGAGAGTGAGAGAAGATATTGTTTAATAATTAAAGCTTGAAAATACATTACTCTATTATTTATATTAATAAATGTGGATTGCAGACATCAAGCAATATACAGTATGTAATGCAACTTTTAATACCCAAAAGAGCTTAGAGGGATGAGATGGAACCTAGAGATGTAATATGCTAGGTCACTTTTCATTGAAAATATCCTGTTGTTTTATTAAAGATATATCCCTTAAAACGTTATTAATAAAGCTCTAGAGATCCTTTTACTGTAGGAACGTGCAGAAAACCCCATCATTTTGGTGCAGCTTTGTCATTCTGTTTAATTTCTTTGTGTGCACAATATGATGGTAGTTTTCTGTCCCCTTCCTTCTGAGACAATTGTCTTCCATGTTACAGACCTATTTCAGCTGAAGAAACGTCTTCAGGTTGCAAAGAGGTGTGGTAAAGAATTAAGTGAGGGTAACACTGTATTCAGCAAGCACACCGTAGAGCACAGTAACCTACAATTTTAATTTTAAGAGACATTCAAACCTCAGTTTTAAATTCTTTTAAATTGTTTGCCTAGTGCTATCTTTTCTTGTGTTATTTTTCAGCTGCAATTCTTGCAGTTTTCTAGAACAGGAAACATCAGTCTAAGCAGAAACAACACTGGCAAACCAAAAGCCATGAGCATCTTTGGTTACAAAACAAACTAAATCACATAATGGGGAAAAAAGTGACATGATGTAAAATACCATGTAATGGTTTTCTAATATTAGGATATTCTTTACTGTTTTGCAAATTATTATAGCATCAGGATCTGACAAACTTATCATTATGTCAAGAATATGTTTATTAATTAAATCTATGCAAAAGAGAAAAAAATGATCGAAAGGTTTCATTAGACACGCTTGAAGAAAAATTGGTACTGGTTTTTCAGTTTTCATATGCAATATGATGATGGTAATGTTCATTTCAGACATTAATTGAATACAGTCCCGTGTGTAAACATATATCATTTTAGACATTTTCAAAGGACAATAAACTAACCCTACAATATGAGAAACTCAGAAACATTGTAGATTAATACCTTTAAACAGCAGTTTCTGAAAGGATGATGAAAAACATAGATAACTCAAGATATCAGATAGCTGTAAAATATTTGTGGCATATATATCTGTCACTAGAAAATAGGTTTCTTTACTCAAGAGGAAAAAAATAACATCCAGGACACTAGATCATTTACAAAATATGAAAACCAACATGTGGGACCTCTTCAATTTGGAGACATATAATTTAAAAGCCCAATGTCTGTGGGTTCCGTAAAACTTTAATGGATATTGTCTGGGTACTCTAATAGGGACATCAAGCACTGGTGGATAAAAATGTGTAATTTTTGTCAAAAGCAACATTTTAATGGTAAGGGTAATGGTTAATGGTAATTGCACTGCCTTGGACAACATAAAATAAAGTACTCCAGGAAAATCATGTATCTCAACTAAAATTAAGTAAAATGACAATATTTATATATACATCCAAGGAACACACTGTAACCTAGAGAAAAGCACACAACAGAAAGTATCAATATCAAACTGAACTACAGCACGCAAAGGGGTTTGTGAGAGTCAACAGATTTGTGCTTGACATTCACAACCAACCTTGAAGATAGAAATGTGTGCTGTTACAGTAGACGCATGTTTAAAAACTCATGTGAGGACACAAATATTTAATTAACCTTAAACAACTCCATTAAAATAATACTTGTTGATATAAACAGGAAAAGAAACCATTAGTGAGGATATGTGAATTATGCATTGCCACAAAGAACTAATAAAGGAATTTTGTTGATCTGTTTAGTGCATATTCACTGTCCAGGTTTTCCAGATTAATCCTGCATTTTTTGCTGACATTACTTTCAAACTTTGAATATACCTTGGAGATCAGAATTTGCAACTATAGCTAAAAATAGCAGTAAGACTGCTAAAGACATGAAGCATTTCAGTGCAATACCGAAGAGTTAAGAAATCATGGTTTTAGGTAGCAGTTTCAAGGTAATACTGACAATCCTGTTATAAAACCCAATTGAATACTGTTACAGTGGAGAAATGAAGAACGTTAATGCTGTTGTTTAGAGTATGAAAATCATTTGTCAATAGCAAAGAAAATCATTTATATATTACACCTGCAATGAATTTGTATTTCTTAAAGCCATGCCTACACACATGATAAGGTGACTACATTTCAGGTGACAGAAAACTGGAACACAAGAAGTATCAATGATGTAAGCTCCATATAACCTGTGCTTACTAAAACAAACTAATTCTTGAAGTCAAAGGTGCACTCAACTAGGATTAAAAATAATTGCAGATTTGGTACTTTATTCAAAGACAAAACTCCAAATCATTAATGGCTAATACTGTTACAAATGGGGGGTCATTTGATAAGCAACATTTACATATCCTAACTTGATTAACCTTACTCAGAGGATTTTGGAACAATAGTTATTGTTCACGGTATTTGCCTAGCTCTCCTGGGGATAGGAGGCAATAGATTAGAGTAAGACATAGATTATCAAAGAGTGTTCCTTATGGTTTACTCTGGGTAATTAACTTGATAGTAAATCATATTAAGGGATAAACATTAAACAGTAACAGCCAATTATAGGTCATTAAGACAGCCTTCATAAGATGGGACCAAAGCAAAGAAAAGACAAAAGACAGAATGTGGAAGAAGAGAAAAGGCGGGAAAGGGAGAGGAAGCACAGAACAAGAGGGAGAAAGTAGCAACATCATCATTATCTAACACTCCCCTCTTACTCAAAAGCTTGAGCCAGGCAAAAATTATATCTTTTGATCAGATCTACATACTAGATTATGGGTAGATAATCTGAATATTATTATAGTGAACTTGTTTTATTTTAGGAAATTCTAACTTCCTATTCCTGTGGAATCCTCAGGCTAAAACCATTCTCTACTATTTGTGTGATTCATTGTAAGAATAGGAAGATTCCCATTCTCTTTTTGGGCATTCATGTTGTAGAAAAAGAGATTTAGTTCTGAGTAATAACCCTTTTTACTGGAATGCAAGTTGTTTCTCTCTTTTACCTGTTAAGGGGCTACCATTTTGCATTTTAATTACAGGGACAGAATTCTGGGTTGTTAGGCCTGCTGGAAGTATACTCTGGTGTGCACATACAGTATGTGTCTTATTATTAATGCTATATAGTTCTCTTATTTTATTAAAATATTTGTCTTGTTTTTAACACTATCAGTTGTGCCAGAGTGCCAGAGAATCATAAGAACACACTTTGTTAATGTTTGGTTATTTTCTACCTGCATTTGTGCAGCAATATTATATAGATTAAGTCAAAACTATTAAAAGATAATGAGCCTAGTGCTCAAAATCATTCTCCGAAACAGTTACACTCACAGACCACGAAGCCTTAATAATATATTTTTAACTAACCCTTAATCAGCCCTTTTAATATCATAAACAAATTCAAAACTGAACCAGCAGTTTCCAAGGTTAAATAAAACTGCAGTTACTGCATCTGCTTCATGTACAAATATTGACTACTTAAGGGATGTTTAAAAGTTCAAAGACCCTAAACTTAAACTTTGTTTGTTTAACAAATCCAACTAGCATTAAAACTTAATTTGGTACTTTATTGAGGAGATACTGTTAATACTGTTACAGTTATACTGTTAATTTGAGCAAAATGTCCTTGTCTTACAGGGCATGCACAGATTCCTATTAGGGTTCCGATTGGAGAAGATCCTTGGTTTTACTTAAAGAAGGAAACGATCTCAGGACTGATTGTTGTCAAGTGAAATGGGTGGGTTGGGAGGACGCAATGCAGTCACCTGTTCTAGCAGCTGCCTCAGTCTGTGAAGCTGGGACTCCAGCTGCTTGTTGTGCTCCTCCAGTATCTGCATTCTGGCCTCCAGCCGGCCCTTGTGCTGCCTCAGGAGTTTGGCCTCAGCCAGGAGCTCGGCCTCTTCAGGGCCCCCTTGTTGGCCAACGGCCACAGAGTCCGGCGGGGAGGAGAGTGGTGGGGAGAAACTTCTCTGACTGTGCTGTTCCTTCAACTGCTCGTACTCCAACTGCAGATTCCTGTGACACATAATACAAAATCCTGAAATGACATTTCAGCCTCATCACTCAGCTTAAACCTGAGAAATGAAAATGACCTCTGTATGACATAAGATGATGGTCATCTTCAATACCTTATCCTTTAATACTGTTTTCATATTTATGTCTCTAACTTTGAATTAGTATCCTGCAAATGTTTCTGAAAGATAAGAGTTTTACAAGAAATGACCACATTCAGAAAAGGTTATCAGATATATTTTTTATTACATACAGTGGTGTGAAAAAGTGTTTGCCCCCTTCCTGATTTCTTATTTTTTTGCATGTTTGTCACACTGAAATGTTTCAGATCATCAAACAAATTGAAATATTAGA